TAATTATTTCAGTGGTCCTTACTTTTTGCGCGTGCAAACCTCCACTCGATCAAGTCTTGCAGTTATGGGACTTTCTGTTTGCATTTGGTGTTCACGTGAACATTATATGTGTAATTGCACAACTAACAATGATGCGAGATAAATTATTGGAATCAACAAGGTTTGTCGATATTTACTCAACGAATCCCCAAATATTTTCTGAACAATACTAATCATTGACAACTAATATAAATTAATAGCCCGATGCAACTATTAAATTTGAGAGCTTGGCCAGAACTTCAAGCAAAAGCGGTTATCGACAAAACTCTCGCACAGATACAGCTTATCCCGGATAAACTCTATGATCAGCTTGTCCGGCATCCATTTGATCCATCTGTCACAATTGAATTAAATAAAGAAGAGAATGGACAATAATAAAATCAAAGAACAAAAATTATAATTATTCTTTATTTTACACAAGATTGTGTATAAAAATTTAAAAATTATAAACCCCTATCTTTTATAAAATTATAGAATCATCCTACAAATTATAAAGCCCGTGCTGGTATCTTTCAACTTTATTCTCTTTTTGGATAATTTTGTTCAAAATATATAATACATGTTTTTATACTTGATCCTTTATTATTTTCTCCTTATTTAATTATTGGCCGGGCTCAAAAAGATAACCCGCTATACACACAAACATGCTTTAAGCTTTTTGACATTATTCGAAATTTGTGATTTTTTGTATATATAGAACTTATTTATTTGTTTTTGTGTTTTTAACTACTTTACTAGTACTTAAAATTATTTTTCATACAAAAAGAATTCCACGTACCCTTCACTCACTATACACATATAAACACAATATCAAGATGGCTGTCTTTCTTTAAAGCGGTATTCCATTTTATGTTTATAATTTCTATATAATAATTCTTAAAAAGATTTATTCAAAATCAATTACGTGTATTTTTTTCCGAGTCTCTCTACTTAGAGAAGAATATTACAAAATAAATTATGCAATTTTTCTATTTTGCGTTTCGTCAAGATTTTATTAAACTCGAAAATTTACATAATTCTTCAGCGAGTTAAAATAAATCACATGTTTCTGAGTGTCACATAGTACGGTCAAAAAAATAGGACGATCATCATGGTACATTACTATATCATTATTTTTATATCAAATTAAAGTTTATAATTTATAGTTAATATGCATATTTTTCAGATTTTTTCTGAAAGAATTATTCTAATTGCAAAGTTATTGCAAAATTTTTTCTAATTAAATTTCATTTTTAATTAGAAAAATTTTTGCAATAACTTTGCAATTAGAATAATTCCTTCAGAAAAATCTAAAAGAAATATATATTAAATTATAACTTATAAATCTAATTTTAATATAAAATTATAAACTTTAATATAAAGAGAAAACTTTAATTTTTATTATATTTTATTAATAAAATTAACTTTCTAATTTCATAATTTTAAAAAATACTATATATAAAATTTTAATTTATTTTTTGATAAATAATTTAATTAATGTTTTGAATTCAGTAATAAAATTAAATATAAAATATATTAAAATTTTATATTTAAATTAATATAATAAAGATATATTTTCAATTCTTTTTTATTATATGAAAAGATTTGCTATATTAAAATTATAATATATTGAATTTTATAATAATTTATATAATTTTTACTATAAAATTATATATTTTTATATTAAAATTATTAAAATTTTAGTTTTATAATATAAATAAATTTGATAAAATTATTAAAAATATTATATATAGTTAAATCTCTTTATAGTTACATCTTTTATAGTTATTTTTTTTATAATTATCTTTTTTAAGTTTTTTAATTATTAATTAATTATAATTAAAAAAATTTTTTTATAATTATACTTCTTTTTAATTATATAATTTTACTTTTTTAAATATAATAATTATAGAAAGATTTAACTATATAATAATAACTATTAAAAAAAACTTCTATTTTATTATAAATTTTTACTATTTTTATTATGAATTATATTATATAATAAAAAATTTATAATTATTATAATATATTATAATTTTTATTATAAATAATTTCATATATAAACTTTTTAAGACTTAATATTTTAAGATTTAATAAAAAAAATTAAATATAAAGTTTATTATTTAATTTAATAAAATCTAGATAATTAAATAAAAAATTTTATATTTGATTTTTATTATTAAATTATAGAATATTAAAATTTAAAAAATTATATATATAATTTTTAAAAATAATTATATATTATTACCAGGTTATTCTTATTCTCAGTTTTATAATATTATCATAAATATTCTTCTTTATTTTAATTTTTAATACTCTTCTTTTTCTTATTATTTTTTTCTTATTATCTTATATTAATTATTAATTTTTATTTTTATTTTTATTATTTATTATATTTAATATAATATTAATTACTTATTTATTATTTATATTATATTATTAATTATCTTAAATATATATTTTATCTTTTTTATTTTCTATTAGTATTTTAAATTATATATAATAAAATACTAATTTAGATAATATTATACTAATTATATTATTATTATACTTAATATATCACTAATTTTATTTATTATAATACTTAATATTTTACTAATTAAGTTATATAATTAATAGTAAATCAAATTATATTTTATATAAATATAAATTAATATAACTTAAATTATAATATAAAAATCTCTATAATTAATAAAATAAGATAATTAAAAAGTTAATTAATTAATTAAATAATTAATTAATAAAAGTTTAAGAAATTAATTAATATTTTATATATATTCTCTTTTTTTTATAATTATATTTATTATATCTTATAATTAATTTTAATTTATTTAATTAATAGAAATTATTCTTATATATTTCTTTATTATTTATATTTTATAATTATAATTATTTATCTAACTAGTAAAAATAATATAATATTACTTATTATAAACTTATTATATATTCTATTAATTTTATTTAAAAATTTTACTATTATAATTAATTATCTATTTGATTAATATAGTAAAGTGATATAATAATATGATATAACTATAGTATATAATGCAATTACTAATTATTACTAAATTAGATATACAAAAAATTAATATTAATTAATATAATTTATTTTTAATTCTATTTTTAATTTATTTTATTATCTATATTTAGTCTTATTCATATATTTATTTAGTTATCTATGTCATACTTAATTAATAATTTTATTAAATTAGTAATTTTCTAATTAGATATTATTAATTTTTCTTTTTTAATTATAATTTCTTTAATATTTTGCTAATTTTAATTCTTAATTACTTTATATTTAATTTAAAAATGTTTTTTATAATAATTCTTCTAGAATTTTACTTGTTCTTAAGTAAATTAAATGAAATATTATATTAAAAATAATTTATAATTAGTATAACAAGAAAATATTATATTGTTATCATTTTAAGATTATGCGTATATAATTATTTTAAAATAGTAATAATAATTATGTTCATGACAGTTTTGATTTTTATAATTTCAAGAAATTATATGACTAATTATCTTTTCAATAAGATAATATATGCAGGATTTACTTCTGACAAAAATATGATTATCTTCTT